ATTATCGCAAAATTTCATTTGACTGCTCTCCTTATCTGAGTTGCTAATACACAATTAATTCATACTTTTATAATCCACCAATAACATGGGCCACATGACGGCCCAAACAACCGCTAAATCTTAAAACACTAGTATGAAGCAGGGGCTGAAGACATGGAATTATAGAAAAAACACCGGCACACACTATGCCGTTAACCATTTACGGTTGCACATCGTTTGAATATTTTTTAGTTCCCACAAACGATATACGCTGCACCCCCTGGTCTATTTTTATCTACAATTCTAACCCAAATACTGTGGTGTTGCAGGGGTGGACTGACCTGTTCATGACTTACCAGGAAAACTCAGAAAGGGGTACTTGTTTGTAGCAAGTAGCCATTTGTAAGGGGAGGGGCTGAAGTGCATGTGCTGCTATATCGAGTATAAATTATTGACAGCTACTTGGCTATACCAAGTTAAGGCGAGAGCTCAAATGAACTACATAAGTAATAAAACGAAAAATAAGATTTTGAGGATTTTGTTCTTTGAGAACTGCATGATGTTCCCAGCACTAGGCTAGTCCATATCATATGCTTGCACCATTGAACAAAATGTTTTCACGTAAAATACTATGCTAGAAGTAACAAAAAAGCTTTTAGGCTAACAAATTGTAAGCAATTTTAAATAGCGTAGATTACTCAAAAGCTGCATGTCAATAGAAATTGGGAAGTTTACTAATACACGTTGATGCTTTTGCATTTTGTCATTGTAGCAATACTATCTTTACCCTGTTGTACTTTAATAGACTTGCCAGTGTTTTATTTACTATTTTCCGGAAAAAGGGCCAACGCAAAAGAGCATATGAATGCGTGGAGCATCGGGAAACTTCCGGGTGTCTTAATAGGCCAGTCTGCCTCTGTGATTTTGTAAATTCTTGGATTGAAAGCTACCTCACAGTCGCCATGCTGGATAATTTTAACAAAGGACTTTCCTTATTTACAATGTAAATTTCATCCAACATGGCGAGCATTCCATTTTTCTCTTACTCCCAGGGGGATGGTTGTAACCCACCAATAAATACGTTCGGCAAACTGCTTATATATAGCTATATTACTTTATAAACCATGCACAAGTAATGCCCTTTATGATAAAGTGGAGGAAACTCTGAACTTTCAAAGAACAGAAAATTAATCATCCTGTTTTCTTTGTTTACTATAAAAATGGCCGTTGAGTTTGCAATTCAATTTTAGAAAAGTGCTTACAAATAAAGAAACTAGCTGTACACCGCACTTGACCAACTGTTTAGATGAAACAGCTCCATTAATTTGACATATCTGAGTGCGGTTTGTCAAGTAAGATGTCAATAAAGATAAAACATTTCCGTTTATGACATACAGTTTAAATTTATTTAGTAAAATTTCACGATCAACAGTGACGAAAGCTTTTTTTAAGTCAATGAACACAACAAGGTTGAATAATTTTTGACAATATTTATATACTAGCTATTGGTACAATCTACTAAGGCTGTAGCTGTTGAATGATGCTTTCGGAAGCCAAATTGGGAGTCACGTAGTAAGTGGAATTTTTTTAAGTGATCATAAAGTTGGTCGTATAAAATCCTCTCCATAATTTTGCTGACTGCCGGTAAAACAGAAATCGGTCTGTAGTTGGTTGGCAAATTCTTTTGGCCGTTTTTGAACAATGGAATAAGTCTAGCAATTTTCCAATTATTAGGAAAGTTACAAGATGTAATAGAATGGTGAAATACTAATGTCAATGAGTCAGCAATAATGGGCGCAGCTAATGGAAATTTTGTCAATACCAGTAGATTTTTTATAGGAGAGACTACATAACATTTGATAGTTTACTTTTGGTTACAGGTTGAAAATTTGAAAATTCTGATTTGGGATTTTTTATAAACTCTTGAAAGTTACAATTTAATGAGTCAAGTTTTTCAGTCAATTCAGACCCAATTTTTGAAAAATATAGATTGAAACCCTCAGCAATATCCTCGGAGTTTGTCAGATTGATGCCATCTATACTTAACTAATTGACATTGCCCCGTCTGTTTTGACTGCCCAATAGATGGTTGATTGTTTTCCAAGTCTCTTCTGGTTTGTTCTTTAGACCAGCAATTGTCCTTACATAATAATTTTGTTTAGCTTTTCTCACTTCTATGTTGTTAACTTTATCCCTTAGTTGCTTTAACATATTCCAATCAGTTTCATTCTTGTTTATGATGGCTTTTCTCTTAAATGCGTTTCTGTCAATAATAAGTTGTTTAATGTACCTTGTAACCCAAGGTACATTTTTGGATTTGATTTTCTTATGTTGTATAGGAGCATGTTTATTAAGTACTTCATTAAATAGCGTTTTCCATAAATTCCACATGTCGTTGGGATTATCAGCAAAATAAAATATGTGCTCCAAATGCTGATAAGTTAAATCTTCGATAAATTTTTCACTATTGAAATTTTTCATGTTTCTAATTTCAAATGTATTCTCATTTTGTTTTTTTGGGAAGTTAATTTTCCTAACCGCAAATATCAAGTTATGGTCAGAAATTCCACTATGTATGACGCCAGAATGGGAAATATTGTCTGGGCTATTAGTTATTACATGATCAATACGAGTGGAGGTTGACAGTGTTACTCGCGTGGCCTCATTAATGAGTTGAGAGAGTTGATACAATTTATATAGAGATATAATTTTCTTTGTTGGTGTAACAGGTTCATGTTTAAGCATGTCGCAGTTAAGATCACCAAGAATATACAATTCTTTATTTTGATCGTCAAATTGTTTGCTTAATTTTTCAAAATGCAAAAAGAAATCATTAGGAGAGTAAGGTGGCGATAAATACCAAAAAATTGGTCTCCCAATTTGTTCAAGTGGAGATTGGAGCCATTAAAGTGATTTTTGCCAATATTTTCGTTATTTATAAAAGAAACATTATGTTTAGAGCATAATTTGTAGATAAGAGAATTATAAAAAGCTATTTTATTTAAGGAAACCTTGCCATCAAATCTTTTTACAACACTTGAAATTCCCACTTTACCTGCTAACTTCTTTGAACTTACAATAAAGGTTTCTAAACCTGTGGCAACTTCATCAGCACTACTACTGACAAAATCATTAGTAAATACATGAATAATAATAGTACCATATTTATTTTAGGGGATCTCCAGGACATTTTGCTGGATGTCCTTTACCATTGCACCACTGAAGGAGTGGCAGGTAGATTTCCCTTTCGCTGCCCAGGAGATCTTTTTTGGATCTAGTCGAGTTTACTTGCATTATCGTCTATGTCTAACTTTTCTGAAACAATTTTGTCTGTGCTGGTTAACGTTAAAACAAATGTCTCCACATCAGCCACGTGCGCGTGAAATTTTGCTTCTTTATCATTAGGTTCGGTCCACGTTTCATTTTCTTTCGTCTTGTTTCCGTTATCTTTGGCAGATCTTTCTGATGGAATATCTTTTTCTTTGGTTTCATCTGTTTTGGGCAATTTCAGAATCAAGCTTTTAACATCAGCATCTGTAAGCGTGGATAGACTGTTCTTTGTTCGGCGAGACATAATAGTGATATTACCAGTTGATCAATTGATATCAAATTTTATACCACAAAAATCGAAAGTGGTATCAATAACTAATTTTTTGTCTTATACTCAAATGTAGTAAAATCTGTGATACAATCACTTTAACATAGATTATTCAAATCAAAAGATACCTTACAATTTTCTTTTTAAATTAAAACAAAACAAAACAAGTCTTCGCATTTGTCTTCGCTTAACGGCTCAAGTATTTAGCTATAGGATTCCAGACTGCGGTCATATATCGTATAATTACGCCCGATGCTACATCTACTCAGATAACACGAAATGCTTGGATAACCCCGCTGCTAAGTTTAAAATAATAAATACAACTTACTTGCAATAGACACGTTTACAAATGAGTCAATAGGATCGGGAGTTAAGTAAATTTATAAACACCAATGAAACTTTGAGTAATATTATTTAAAATTAGAGTTGCAGGTTTAAAAACTTCATCATCTAAACCAAATGACTTAAGGACTGATGTATCATATTTTAGGTCTCCATTATTGCCACTTATTGTTACAATTACATGAGCTGCAGAAGCATTGTCAAATGTCCTAAAGGTCCAACTCCGAAAAAGAAAGTTTGCAACGACACAATAACAGTTATAAACGTTTCTTCGGCAAAATATTCAGGCCAAATTTCCCCGATTAAATACTTAGAACAATGCATACAGTACAATAAAGATTGAAATAATTAAAACTTACCAGCAATAGAAACATTTACTTTTGATGAAGGAGTAGAAGGAGTACTAGTTGAAATAAAAAATGTAAATTCCCCATTGTAACTTTGATTTACATTCTTTAGCCACAAAGTTCCAGGTTTGAAAACTTCAAATGTTAAAGGTGATGGAAAATGTTTGGGTGTGACATCCATATCAAGTATTCTTGCAATTTCTTGAGGGGAAGATGAACCACGAGGTTCAAAACTCCAAGCCCATACAAGAATGTTTCCAGTAACATTTAATGTCCAAGTTATATTGTGAGAAGATCCAGGTAAAAATACAAATCTTTGACCATCAGGTGGAGATATTATTCTTCCTGAAATTAAAATTTAGCTGATATCTATGACTGATAAAAAGATAGTTTAGGGAAAAATACATCTTCTACTAACATAACAAAAGTAATTGATTTTCTTAATTCAGGTTCTATTCAAAAATTGTGAATAAAAAAATAAACTAATTAAATATTACTAATACAACAACTAAAAATACATCAAAAATCATTTAAGTAAAAAAGAAATGGATATTTGAAGTTAAATACCTTTGGCAAGACCAAGAAATGTGATCAATGTAACAGTCGAAAATACTAAATTTGTCTTTACCATTTTCACTAAAAAATTGAACCATGAATTTTAATGCTTATAATCTTTGAAAATAAATTCATGAGTTAACATGGTTAGTGCTGTGAAAATTCTGGTTTTTCAGCTCCGTCTCGTCAATTCTGAGCTGGTAAAAATAGCCGACGCTGCAGCCCATCTCCGGTGCACAGAACTAAACATGGTGCATCAAAATAAATAATAATTTCTACTCGTAAATAGGCAATATTTTGCGTAGCAATATGTTCCATTAATTCTACCACAGTAATATCTTTATCATTGCAATAAATTTTTTGTGTTTTAATTTGCTTTATAAAATAAAAACAGTAAAACATGTGCGCTGATTGGTAAAAGGCTGAGTTTGCATTAGCCTGGGTAAATCGATCGTAGCTCAACCTCAATCAATCAAAGAGATTTAGCAAACCGTTCATTAATGCACTTTTTTGAAAATTAAAATGCAAACCTTGGAGATCTTTGTGAGAATACTCAAGCAGTTGCAAAACCTGCTTTGATCAGATCTTAAGTTCTCCAAAAGGTCTCCTCAGTTTGCATAAGCCTGTGGAAACATGGTAAACATTTTGCTTTCTTGACTTGATTGGGAAAGCATAAGATGAACATAAATACTAATTCCTAAACATTGTGAATCATTGCATACATTTACATCTCACATTACAATTACTGTATGTGACCAGTGACATATCTTTAGTTCTGCTATGCAAATTATTCATGCGTTCACTAGCTGTAAAAACAATAGATTTCAAAAAAATGAACAATGACAATGATCTGAAATTTACATAGCACAACCAAATTTGCAGGCTAACTTTCCTAATGTTCTTAACAGAATAAACTTGAAATTTAAATCATTTAACTATGCTATTAAAGACGATACACAAACTACAAAAGAAACATTGGTTATATAAGAGGATTGACATTGTTTTAGCAAAATGAACTTTAGGAAAAGACAGTTAGCTGTACAGGAAAGTAATATTGTGTAATTCTTAAATAATAGTGAACAGAAATTCTTCTCTTTTCAACCAAAATGCTTTAGTTTTGAATGAATTTTTACCTTTTACTAACTGTTTGTAACTACTGCAACTGGAAGTTAGTTAAGTTTTCAACTCGGTCCACATAAAAGCCCACAAGCATAAATTTATTACAGGATAAGAATTAATGTAGTTGTAAACTGTTTACACAAACTTTTACTTTGTTTTAATGTTTTGTCAGTTGAATTTTCATACTATTGTCAATAAAGACTATGTTGTGTATACTGTGCTGATAACTACCATACAATATAATCTAAGCATTAGCTCCACATAAACGAGACCCACCTATATAAGCCCAAGAAAGAAGGCATGCAAAATTATATAAGTTTAAGGCTTATGGGCAAATGTTTACAGTATGAATCATGATAAAATATAGTGATTGTTAGGCCCATGCAGTGTGAAAATTAGCGGTGTGCAATGTGCAATTTGCACATCGTTTTAGCTAAAATGAAAACAATTGCACATCACTTTTTCAAACGATGTGCAAAAAACTTCTATTCAAACAATACACGAAAAACACTGTCGTGAATCATATGAATTTGTTCATGTTTAAAAATATTAATTTAGCAATTAGCACTTAATGTAATATCGATTTGATTATGCCTCTAAAGAAACACTTTTGTCAAAAAAAATTGCACATCGTTTTTTCTGAACTAATTCGCACACTGGGCCCATGGAGGTAGGGTAACCCCACCAGAAGGGTTACATTAGCAAGCAAGTTACCCAATGTGAAATTGCTTTATATGTAGCATTTACATGTGTGCTAGGGTAACCCCGAGGGTTAAGGTTTCCATATCAAATTGATAAGGTTACCACAATAGTTGGATGATGATGTTTTTATTTCATAAACCATAAAAACGCTTGAGATAAGGTAATCCCTTTCAGTAGGGCTATGTTTACATCATATCTACTCAACATATTTGCATATCAGGGAAAATAAATTGCTTCCAAAGCATAAAATTATACACAAGATGCACTACATGATTTTACAGAGACAAACAATAAAACTAGAGCCCATCCACCATCTACAAGGAAGTTTTCGAGATGGCAAAGAAGGTTTTTATTCCATGAATGTTAAGTCTTCATTGAAAAAAAACCACTCAATGTGAATATAATATAATGAAAATGAATTTGAAACGATTTTCAGAGGTCTTACACTGAATTATGGATCTTTATAAATATGCCTCAAGGAAGCCAAAATGTTTCATCTGCAATCATGTCTACAACATGCTCATGTTGCTGTCATTAATAGTAATACACAGACCTGTCAATGGTAGAGTCAACCTACACAAAAAGATAGCCTTGCAAGTATGGTTACCCTATTCCCATGTAAACAGGCCCTTATTAGTTTGGTAACTAAACAATACAACAGGAAGTACAGAAATATTTTCATAAATCAAAGAAGAAATGAAACCCAACATACTCATTTAGTATTTAATGTGGTGTTTCGTCTTGGTCTTTTAAAATTATGAAATTCAAAATGCATCAAAATTCTTAAAAAGTTTTGTTTAAAGCGACGTTAAGGTAAAGAGATCTTCATCAAAGCATATCAATACAAAAAGTTGTTGTATTTTAACGTATACACTTGTGTACCATATTATTGAAGATTTTCTCGAATTCAGACTAAAGCCTGGGCCACACTATCGTCTATATTGACGAAAACGAAAACGAAAATTCGTGCACGAAATGCATGCCAGACACGATGAAAAATTACAAGCATGTTTGCAAAGCCAAAACGTTTTTGGCCAATAAGCAAGCGGCATTTTTGACGGATTAGAAAAAATGGCGATCTCTAAAAGAAAAAGTTACTGCTTTAAAAGTTGAAAACAAGCAACAGCAAACGTCGATACTGGATTCATCCAATTAATAAACGACGTGATCGTCTTGGACTATTTAACAACTTGATTAAAGAATTACGATCGCCGAACAATGAAAATAGACACAAGGTTAAATAGTTGGAATGTTATTAAACAAAAAGAATGATAGCACAGCGCTATAACCAACAACTACAAACAATAACGACCTTATCTAACAACATTTGAGAAATTAACCTTCCACTCCTCTTCCTTTTAATTCAAAGAAGAGATTATAGCTGAATTCCATAGTAATATCAGAGTTAAAGATGAAATAATCATAAATTTCCAACTGGAAGAATCTAACATCGATGTTAAACATATTCTTACAAGCATCAGTGATTATACTTATACATAATCGGCAAGCGGGCTTGCAACAATCTATGTTTAACATCGATATTAGATTCTTTTCCAGTGGAATGCTTTCACTGAAGGGCAATGATGTATTGTCTAACATTAACACCGGATTATGTTACTGATATTTAATATGGAATTCGAGATTTGTCCATATGAACTGTTCAACATGCTTCCAAACAAAAAATGAGCAGGAATATTCAGTTGATTAATCCATGATAAACCTTTCACCTTTTAACTCTGCTATACCGGTCACAAGCCCGGGACTTGTAGCGTATAAGGCTCTCTGCTTTTGAGTAGACTTGTCTCGTTTACAAGGAAGAGGAGTGGAAGGTTAATTTCTCAAATGTTGTTAGATAAGGTCGTTATTGTTTGTAGTTGTTGGTTATAGCGCTGTGCTATCATTCTTTTTGTGAAAATAGACACATAAAATACTTGCGAAAGACGACGACAAATTTTGACTACATTTTGGATTTAATTAGACCTCACATCATTAAAGTTGGCACACATCTTAGAAAGTCTATTAGCCCTGATTTATCAAAACCTCTTGCCACTCCGCCATGTTTGAGTACAAAGTCTGATATTATTAGCAAATAGTATGCGTTTTCGTCAACGAAAAAGGTCAAAAGTTTAATTCTTCTAATATGCACGAAAACGAAATTTTCGTCGAGTGTTCGTTCAAAATTTTCGTTGCGGCAGTTTTCGTTCTGATTTTCGTCGATATGGACGATAGTGTGGCCTAGGCTTAAAACTTATTTTCTTTCACAAACACAATTTTAGTATTGGCTAATTTTAGTTTGAACTAAGAATTCTCGATAAGAGATTCGTTTCAATAGCGCCTGTCGAATGCCATGAATATTTACGCCAAAACTTTACAGCAAAACAATATTTTCATTCAAGACAACAAGGACAAGTACGCTATTCCACTAAAAATACAGCAAAACGTAACATACCCATGTAATTTGGTTTTCTTCCGTGAGAATTTCAGAAAGACTCAATTTCCTGCTTCGCAACGTATGACGTACGTGAAGTTATGGCACGCCAAACAAAAGTGTATCGAGAATTCCAACCACTAGTCGAGAATCATAAGTGACATATGAGAAGAGCAAGCACGTGTTGAGAAAATCAACCATACGTCGAGATTTCTGACTGGCAAACTGGACAGCGGTTGCGAAACGTATATTATAAATACTTCGTGCCATGCATATAACATAACATGGTCTTCAGGAAACAATGGATGAAGAAAAACTACCGTGAAATTGGCACCACCTTGGGCACCACAATCAACACAACATTCATACAACATTCATCACCACATTCAACTAAAATTTATCATTCAAAATGATAAATCGAAAAATCGTCTTTAAAACACGTTTTCCATCAAATACAACAGTAAAAAACAATTCTTAAATGTTTTTTACTATTTTACTGTCCTTAACCATCACAAAGAAAGTATAAAAGTCAAGAAATTGAAGAAAACACTAAACTTTAGGTTACAGTGTACTTTTCATTTCCCTTAATTAGCGTATAATTTAAAAACTACACGGTAGAATTTTTTTAAACTTAGCCAGAATATAGATAATTATATTTTCTAAAATATATCAAAAATCTGGAGAGTGCACAAAAAAATAAGTTGTAGAAAATCATCGGCAAAGTCGGATTACAAGATTACGCGTAATATAATCTAATATAATTAACTTCCTATATCCAGGTAACTTTGCAAACAAAGGCCTATAAATAAAAACACACGGTAGAATTTTTTAAACTCGGTCATATTGTAGATATTTTATTGCCTAAAATATATCAAAATATCGTAAAACAAGATTTTTTCGTTTTGTACTTTGCGGAAGTACTAACGTACTTTCCACTGTGATACTAAACGGGCAACTTTTAATCCACAGAAAACTCAGTGAAATGTCAATGAAATTATTTACAAATGGACTAATCAGTCAATTTTGATAACATATTAAATGAACGGTGTGATACTTAACACATTTCTTGAATAAATCGGCTAATTTTACTCTTTTAAAATTATTTCCGGGTTCATGGTGTGCAAATATTTATTTCATTGTTCATCGTCAAAATTGTATAAAGGCCAGTTAGGCCAATGAAGTTCATTTTCGTATTCTCACTATTTTGTGTAACATTGCATAGTACATGTTGTCTTTATGATTAAAACCATAGATATTATATATAAATTATAAAACATAATGACCGAAGAAGGTTGTATAACCAGACTACTGAACCAGCAGGGGCGGATCTAGGATTTTTCAAACATCAGTCATAAAACATCGGAGGCGCTCCGCATATAGGGGGGGTCTGAGGCATTCTCTCCTGAGAAATTTTGAATTTCAGAGCCTTAAAAATGCCATTTTCAGCGTTTCAGAGCATTACAAAATGTATTTTGTGGGCATCGTTTTTACAAATACAACACATTTGGTTACGTTTTTTCAAAAAAAAAATGAACAATACTTGAATATTTTGCCAAATATTTAGGCTCATTATTATGCCAAATATATGGCTCATTAGCATGTCTAGGAACGTAAAATTTATTTTACAATAATGCTATATTCAAAACAGATATAGCCTTTTAAAAATTTCTACCAAGTTGTCAGGCATAGACCCCTAGAGACCCCATTCAAACCTCTATGTAATGAGTTAAGTTAGAAATTTGGTACTACAAGTGACAGTTCATAGATATAGAAAAGCTCAGACTTCAAACCATGCAAGTTTATTGTAACCCTTTACCCATCTCCACATCAGTATTAGCAAATTCACCTTTTGAGGAAAAACTCAAAATTTTTCTGCCAAAGCTTAAGCAAAAATTATCAGAGTGAAAATTTGTAAGACAGCTGAATGCCATAAATTTTATTAGGCATTTCACTTGACTATCTTCAAGGTGTGCTATATAGCAATCACTAGTAGCATTGTATTATCAATTACAAACAGAATGTAACCAACATGTCTTTAATTATATAATTACATGAATGTTAAAATTGGTTCATGTTATGCTTACTGGTTATGATAAATATCATTTCATATGATCAAAGCTCGTTTAAATGTAAATCTGAAATAATTTAGTTTAGAAATTATAATGATCATCAGAAAATTACCTAGTGATCATGAAAAATACTTTGCTGTTTTGCCAAATTTCAAGGTTTATCTGCATACATAGGAAGACATTTTACTTTATAGAAAATGCTTTTCATACATCAATAGCCTTTGGAATTTATGGCAAACAATCTGGTATGAGCCGAGATTAACACAACTTTACATCTCTACATGAGGTGTTCAGTTAGAAAGGGACAATATGTGACATGGGACAACATTTCATGTATCTGAAATACTAGGTTTAATACCATTCCAGTCAAATTGTCAAAATAAAAGCTTCATGGATCAGAAGACTCAAAATCACAGGTTATAGTAAACAGCTTCATGTAATCAATGTTAGTTTTCCAAACTTAAACAATATGTAGTATAACTGTCAATGATTGAATGATCAATGATCATAAACTGAAAAGTCCCAAACATTTGTTTATGATAAAGTAATAACAGTATGGCGCTTTATGGCTACAGATTTTGGCCATTGAAATATATTTGCAGGATGTAGGATTTCGCTGCCATATACGGTCACGATTCCCTAAGCACTAAAGAAATCCTAGCTAAAAGTCCTTCGGCAACAACAATTTTAGAAGCATCTATCTGCTTACCATAGCCATATTAACATAAATCGCATCACACACTCGCATAAATTGACTTTGATATATTACATTCATGTATGCCACTTCAGTTGTCCTTACTTACGATTTTGGATGTAAATTTCATGATAAAACTCAAATGTTGGCTTGCTTTTGAACATCAATGACTGAAATGTCATGATCGTCTTTGCCAAGCATTTACAATTCATCCATAAATTTTCGCCCTTGAAAAATTCCCAGTTTGGTAAAGCAGCATTCATGTCAACATATGAATTTGTAAAAGATTTCCATAAATTCCATCTGATTGTAGTTTAGTTGCCTAAAAATTATTATTATGAAACGATCAAACATTCAATTCAGACAGTGAGCTTGACTATGTTAGTTCAGTTGCTATCAGTCGAAATAGGTCAAACCAATCACAGTAAGACAAAATTCAAAATGAACCAATTGTAAGATAGCAATTGGACCTTATAGGTCTGGCCACTCTATTATCGGTCGAGATTATTCCAGACTGTCCACTGATCTGGCCATTGACCAATAAAATAGCGTTTCTGGCGTTCTTGACCTTTATATGTCGAACCAGTCAAGCCACCCCTGCCATCAGTCGGTTTTAGGTCAATTAAAATTCAACTGATCTTGGTTACCAAGGAGATATTCATTGATTAGTCATTGCCTTCAATAATAAATAAAGCTGGATTCTTTACGAAGTAAACGATAATAAAGTAAGAATAATTAATGAATTTTAACTAATATGAATAGGTACTTTTGAGTTTCAACATCAGTCGC